CTGCACAGTTAATTTTTATGAATGGTTCCTACAACGCCTGAATGTAATCAATCATTTTTCGACGAAAGTTACATATAACTTTCGTCGAAAAATGATTGACCTATATATAGGTCCGTATTGGAAAGTTTTTTGATTTAATACCATATTTTTGATTTTTTTTTTAAAATCGTTTATTTTAATGACTTTTACCCTGTATATACTTTGACGTTACAAGAAAGGCGGTTTATCAGCACTATCAAATCTGAAGATCTACATTTATTTAAACTTAAAACAATTTTTACTTCAAATAAAACCCTTTAAAAGACATCTAAAATATTTTTTTGCTTTTAAGAATGATGGCAATATAGAAAAAATTTCTGTAGTTTTGAATTGAAAAAAAAAAATTACAATTACGAACCTATTGAAAATAATAAAACCAATAGAATATTTTTCAAAAATTTTATACCTGCATAAATATTTTTTGATACCTGATTATCAATAAAGGTTATATTTATTCTTTTAATTTATAACGGTACTATTGGTGGAGAAACATTTATTAATATATAACACATAACTACCATTTTGTCACAAATATTTATATTATTTACATAATTACCATACATATTCCAATAATTCACTCTAGATTAATTTAGACATGAGCAATAAATTGTTGCCTTGTTACCATATTACATCCCACAGAAAAGCGTGTTTACCTAAAGCATACAATTATTATTAACAAATAAAACAACAAAATTATTATAATTCAATCCTTACAAAATGTTTGCTACACTTTCATATTTGATTTTGCTATCTGACTAATCATCTCGTTTAAGTGCATACAATCAATGTTATATCCTTTTAGTTAATACATCGTTTAAATGGAAAAAGGAAACGAGTCTCTATCACCTCTGCTCCCACAATTTACAACCATGCAAGTAACTGGCGAAATACTTCACTAAAATATATTAAACATAAATTAGTTGAATTCAGTGTATTTTCTTTTTATTACACACGTTTTTAGTTGTATTACTTCTAATACTCTATTGCCAATGTCTTCAATTAAAACGAGCAGCTGTAGTTAACACTTAACTGATATTAAAATCACACTAAATAGTATTTTTGTTCTAAATCCACTCTCAAAATCACAGTTTTCTGTTTTAAACTATTTCGATGATGATAATAATATAAACAAACTTTGTGCCTATAATCGGCCATATTGAATTTTTTTTAATTTGATCAAAGTAGTTTTTATCCTAAATATCCTAATCTAAGAATTACTTAAAATGTACAATGCTTAACAAGTAGGTTACCATATTGTCAGTGGTATAACAAAAATGTTTATGAATATCAGAAATCCTGAAGACTCGGTTCAAGTATCTCTGTTGGTTGAAAGCGGGAGGGGATTTTCTTATTCCAAAAAGCCATAGAGGTTGATTTTAAAATCCTCATATAGAAGGATATACTCCGATATACATAATTTTTTTCTATGGTCTGCTTTATAAATATTTTTTATGGATCACTTCATATACGTATATCTGGTTTAATATTATCCTTAACTCAAGGATACTTATTAACAAGATTTTACAAAATTGAAACTTCTCAAAAACAATCATTCCCACGCACCATCACCTAAATGACCAAAAACGTCGCTAGCAGTCCATTTCTACAAAAATGATATCATTGTTGCATGTATGTAAACAAATATTATGTATGATTAGTGGTTATATAATTCCCAAAGCAATTTAAAACAGTAGTTATAAATGACTATTTTTTTCTCGGATTTCAAGGTAATACAATAATAACGAATAATAATAATAACAAGGTAATCAGTTTTTTAGTGATAAATCAAAATGTAGTACACAAATTCAGTCAACGTGAAACTATTGTAGCAGTTTTGTGCACTTTTTATTTAAATTATTATATTTATTCCTAATAGAGCAACAAGCAACAGAAAACAAGGTAAAAACTCATGTTTTTGTAGTGTTTTGTTCTGTCAATCTTTTTTTATGGATGAATAACCATTATTGCAAAATATATATTATGGTGGAGCCTTTTAGTAAAAGAAATAGCATTTTTTAAAACTGGTTTTAAAGGTTTGGTTATTCTTGGTCTGCACAATGGGCCTAGAGAGGCCTAAGTACTGTGGGGGTAACGCACCCTCCCCGCCTTACAGATATAGGTTTGCTTGTTGGTAAGTCTTCTTTTTCTTAAAGTACCCACTTCTATTTATTTCTAATCATGACAGTTTCTGTTCTTAACTGAATTTCTATATGAGCCTTTTTTTATGCCGAAGTGAAAAGTAAGTCACAAGTCATTAGATTACATTTAGTTAGGCTGTGGGCCATAATAATATAGCCTTCCACACTTAAACCATTTCAGATCTATTGTGAATATACTTTTAGTATTGGTTAGAGTACTTTGTCTAGGACTAGTATGTAAGTAGCTAATTGCCCTTGTTTGTTCTTCTCCAGTTATAAGGAATCCCTGTCTTGATAGACCTTCTCAGTAGCGCAGTACAGATACTGCATTTTCTTCCTCTTCCTGGCTAAATTGGCACCATATCTGTTCTATATCTCTTCTACCAGATCCATGTTACGCATATATCTGTTAACTCTACAATACTCTGTTAATAGACCTACTAACACTCTAGTATTTTTCTTACTCTAGCTTAAATGTCTTGGTGAATTATTCCACCATTCCTGAGATTTGTTCAACATCCACTGCGTTGTGCTTGTTCTTGTAGCTGTCTTTGTGGTACCACAGAAATAATCTGTGGACGAAAAAGAAACGTTGATGCTCCTCCGCGAATTGTTAGTAAATGAGCCTCTTCATTATCCTCTTTTTTGGCGGGTGGAAATCTTTCATGGATATCGGTTACTGATTCTGCCCTTCGCTAATAGTGTGGGACTACAGACTCTGTATTGCAAGTTCTGATTACCCACTAAAACCGCCTCTCACCCCAAGCAGCCCAGTATTGTCTTTTAACATTCTTTCAGGATGCAGGATTTATCCATTACTGTTCTTGTCTTTCATCTTTCTCCTTAGCCGATATAATTTTTTCCGCCAATTTGATTAGCACAAACCACGCATTGTTATCACTCGTAATAATCTCAGTAAAGTTTTCAATATTAATAGCCTCTTCTATTTGGACTCTGCTCTCGTCTCGGTGTTCTTCCCATTTTTTGCAGTTGAAGAACGTGTATTCTACCGTATAAACTTGTCCGCAGTATAAACAATCCTTGTCCTGTGTACAATTCTTTTAAACGATCCATTACCCGTTATTATCTGGCTGAGAAAGTAAATCGTCTTTATATGTGGATATTTATACCACCTTCGAATGTCCAGTAAAAGCCGTTTCGCAAATTGGCTCTTTTCTATGTTATCTTCCCATTCTGGCTGTCACTTCTCGAGGCTTACCTGTTTTTATTCATTTTTGATCGTCTGATCGTGGTTAGGTGCCTATTTCTCCTTTCGTCGATCTGTATGTGTGCAGTTCTTGCAGTAACACTGCGGTATGCACTAGCGATTCTTGTAGCTATTTTTCGCTGTACCCTTTCCATAATTTACCTGTATCGCGTTACCCGTAGAGCCTTGACCCATATTGGTGGCCCGTACAGAATGTACTACATTACTCAGCATCTCCCTTTTTTATCATTTGGTCCTCCTATATTCAGTATAATTTTAATTTTCTCTTGTACCTTGTTCTTATATGTTTGATCGCCCACGTTTTTTTCGCCTTTCATCCGCGTCTTGTGACCAGAATTGCCTCCGTCTTCTCAGATGCCAACTGCTTTTTTCCACCTCATTCAGTGCTCTATCCTCCAACAGCGCTTTGTTAGTCTTGTGTTCCATTTTCTGCCCGTCGCTTGCTTTAACAACGATGGCAAGATCATCTGCAAAGCCGGTTGCTCTTACTACCTGTGGTTGGTCCAGCCTCAGGAAACCATCATACAGTACTAACCATAGTGTCGAACCTAACACCCCGCCGTATTTTTAAGCTTTTCTTGGCTTACCATTATTTTCCTTCCGCTTAGATAGTTTTTGACAATATTTATAAGGTACATTGATATTCTCCTCCCTAGTTCACTATTGATAATGTCGCAAGATGCCATATTAAAGGCATATCTGACGTCAAGAGTTATCAGTGCTGTCCATCCGCCACCGCCGATTTCCTGTCTCACCTGCTACTAGCTGTACTAATTGTATCGTAGACCGCCCCTTTCGAAACCCGTGCCGGTTTTCGGAAAAACCCTCTCCTTCCTTAATTTACTTCACTAGTCTGTTCCTTATCAGTCATTCGTATACTTTGTTCAGCGTTTTAAGTAAGCATTTAGGTCGATTCTGAACAATTTTCTTTTGACATCTGTACACAGACTGGGGTTTGTGTGTTATGACCACCAAGCTCTGTTATTACCTTCACTAGTTATACCAAGATTTCTGACAAAAAATACCTTTCTTTCCTAGATACCAGGAGTAACTCGGTATTTTCATTCCAGAAAGCTTTTCTCGATCACCTAAACCTTTAAAACTCGTATCAACAGACTGTCACTGCTTCCAGGACAAAGCTGTTAAGTTTTATCATTAGAAATCCATAAAAAGTTGCAATTTAAAAACTACAAAAACTGGTGAAAAATATCATCTACATTTCCGTTTTTTTTGTTAAAACTAGGAAGACAGCGAACATCACCAAAAACAAGTGACTGAAAACGAAGTACTGCCTCAAAACGTTTCTTTATATTAATATAACGAATTTTAATTTTTTATCAAAAAACGAACAAAAATATCGAACGACGAATATAGAATTATTATATTCCGAAATAAAATTTAAAAAAGCATTTTTCGAATATTCAAGAAATGCAAATTTTTATTACCGAACAAAAAATAAATAGAAGTATCTACTTCTAAATATTTAAAATGATTTTAGACGCGCAGGAAATTCTTGAAGTACAGTTATAATAAGTACTATTTGTAAATAATAAAATCAGCGTTTAGATTAAACGCTGTACTAGTATTTAAGTTCTCGAGTGCTAAAAATCGACCAAGAGTGCCTTGTTAACGTTTGAAAATATGAAAAGTATCAAAGCGATATTTCGTAGAGGACAGGCTACGAAAATAGAGGGTCACACGTTGGGCGACAACTTGTCCAGAGCTTCGTCTGTCACCAATCTAGATGCGGATCAAAAGGCCGCGAAAGGAGCCAGGCCCAGAAAGAGTTCGTCCAGAGAAAGATTAGATAGGATCGGTGGAGATGGAAGAAAACAGGATAAGAAAGGTAAGATTTTCCCTTTGCTTCAATATTGATTTATGATGTATTAGAGGAATGTTAAAAATTATGAATTCTCATTGTATAATGTGTGCCACAAAGTTGAAAATTAACCTCTTTTAATATGGAAAAGAGTTATTAGATAAGCTTGTTTCTAATGACACTTTAAGTACGTCAACATACCAATTATGAACGAGATATTCCGACTTTAAGAAAATTTTAGTTTTTAAAATTTGTTTGATATACCCCCGTAACTAACAATTTTGCATTTATTGAATAACCTTAAAAGGAACGAAAAGGCTACATTTATATACCAATTTTTCTTAATAATGTTCGTCGGTGTGGTTTTTTTTACGAATATTAAAATTATTCAAAATTATATTGAGTTTTCTAAATGATTTTGCAATTAAAATATGATTAATTAATAACAAGAATTATTGTAATCAAAATTTAATCTACTTAACACCTAATTTACTTCTACGTAACATTAACTTGGTAGTTAATTACAATAAAACATATTAGCAGTACTTAAGTAATGCACACTAAACAGGACAGCCATAGAATTTCTTCACTGAGTAAACGTAATTGTAGTCATCTTACATTTCCGTGTGTCTACCTTCTCTTTAGATACAAAGTTCAGTCCTGAGCTTAAATTCCCTGTCAGTATTTAATAAAAACTCTCTGCTTATCTAATAGTATTTTCTAATTCATTTGCATTTCAAAATGGCCTCTTCTTATAAAATGTTTTAAAAAAAAATCAGTAATGACAAATAGGGAGAGCATGTAAACAAATTATTGATAAAATGTTGGATTACAGCTGTAGAAAGGATTGAAGCTCGGTCTTGTTGAAAAACCAAAACTCCTATAATTTAATGCAATTTCTTGCTATAGAAAATTTAAGTAATTTGTAGCATTTAAAGTACCATTGAAAAAGTAAGGTCCAATAAGTTTTTCATTAAAAATCGCACACCAGACGTTAGCTTTAAATGAGTACTCACCCCTACCGTAAAATGAGGATTTTAGACAGCCCATTACCAACAATTCTGAGAACAGAGAATTCCATTAGAAGTGAAAGTGGATTTATCAGTGAACATTATAAATTAAAAAAAAAGGACTTTCTTCAATCTCCCTGTATTTGAGCCTAAAATTCTAGTCTTATGCCATAGTCTGTTTTTGAGCTATGGGGGCCATTCTCTTTCCGTTGAGCCTAGCTTTAATTTGTAAAAAGTGTTTCCTTAATAATTAGTAGTAAATAATAGTAAATACGAGGGTTATCAAGAATGAAACGCACTTCATTAATTTATTTAATGTTATTTCTGTAAACATGTAAAAAAACCTAAAACTATTTGCATTTACGTAAATACAAGGAAAATATATTTCAAATGAGGTATCACCCTATGACCCCACTTTACATTAGAAAGTTTAAAGATAGTAAAGCTCTCTATCTTACGTCTCAAGTAAAGTACATTTCATTATTAGATTTAATTAAGACTGTGGGCCTCGACCTTTTTCAGATCTATTGTGGATATCTTTTAATCGTTTTTTATTCGATCTTTTGTAGTAGGCTCCATAGACTAGGAATTCGTTTTCCGGCGTAACTAGTTTCAGGTATATTAAGTTATCTATAATTATGTGCGAATTATGTGCAATTTTTGTGCGCTATTCACGATTTTTGTGCATTTATAGTTTTTTTGTAATTAAATATTGTGCTAGCTTAATGTAAAGTTAGCACAAAATATATTGATATTATAAACGGTTCTACCCCAGTATAATTAATAATACTTATACTGGGGTTCTACTATAAAAATTTTATATTCAGTACATTTTTTCCCAATTCAGTACATTTTCTAAAAAAATACAGTACAATTTTAAAAATCGTCGCGGTAACATTGATTAATTAAGTCACCCCTCTCTTATTTTCACAAATAACAATTAAAAATGAGTGCTTGCTGATAGGACTTTAAATGATACTAAGTACGAATAAATCAGCAATAGTACGAAACATTGTAAATAGGCTCTATTTTTATGGATAATCCTTTAAACCAATAACTTGTTTGGCTTTCCCTTTAAAGGAAATTTTAAATAAACTAAAAATATGAAGGTTGCCTGTCCCTAACTTCAAAATATTGTTAGTGATTCTGCAGCTCTCCTTTTCTACTATAAATCTGCACAGTTTGAAATTATTACCTTTTACTATTCACACACTGTGTATATTCGTAATAACTATTTTTAATTTATTTGAGGTTTAGTCATTCCATTCATATAAAAATATTGGTTGCATCTGACTTTTTCTGGCCTTTAGCATATTACGCCACAAGGGCGGAAAATAGGCAACTGACATAGCTGAAAAGCTGCTAATATTTTTAACACGTTTTTTAGGAATTGCGCGCAACAATAATAAACTAGAATCGGAAGAAAATACACACTTCTCGGTGGATTCGTTTACAGACGAAGAATTGTTACTTCTGCGGAAGCAGTTGCAGGACATGGCGCAAGAAAAGACCAATTTGGCGTTGCAATTGGGCGAACAGAAGGGCCAGCTCAACATTTTACAAAAAGAAATTCAAAAATTAAAGGTAGATACTGACATTTATTTCGGGGAATTTCCAATTTTCAATATAAAAACGTTTTTATATTTTAAAGTATTTTCAGGAAGAGTCCAACATGCAATTGGAACATTTGACTGAAGAAAATACGTTGTTGAGGAACCGTTTGCGGGACGTGGCCCTTTCTCCCTTGTCCGATAATGAAAAACAGCAATTGTTGTTTGACTCCCATAGACACCACAGTTCGGCACCAGCTTCTATTGCTACAAACGTAAGTATATAAGAAAAATTAAACATAATCATGTGTATTCATGAAAATGGTTTATAAATGTTCCTTTTAATTATAATTTTTTAACATACCCTTAACCTTTTTTCTAACATGAGAGCACATTGCTACGATTGCTACAATTTAAAACTGAAACAAGGAGATAACAAGTCATTAAAAAAATTTTGGAGAAACAAACTTATTTTGTAGTAAATTAAGTATATTAATTTTGATTAAAGAAAAACAAATATGTATTAAAAATAAAAAATCTCAAAATTTATAAATACATGAACAAGTTATAAAATTAAAAAAAAGACTTCAAAATCGTGGCTATGCCATTACAAACTGAGTTTGCTGATTTTCTCATAGATCCCATCACCAGATCTTGATCAAATTTATATGTGACCACCCCCGAGATACCCCTTTTCTAACAAAAAAAAAAAAAGAATCATTGAAATCGGACAAGGTAGTAAAGAATTATGTTTGATGATTTTCTCATGGATCCAATTATTAGATCTTGACTGAATTTATATGCACCAACACTAAAGTACTCTGTTTCTAACAAAAAAAAAAGAAACGATTCTTAGAAATTGGACAACGTGGTAAAAAGTTATCGCTGAACATACCTAAAAAAAATATTCAGACGAATTGCGAACCTCCTCTTTTATTTGATGTCGGTAAAAAAAAGACAATTTTTGTAGGTTTCTACAAAATTTATACTAAATCTCAATAGAACACTGTCATCGTCTAAGATGACCAATTTTTTTCTTTAGTCTTCATCAGACAACCTGTATCAAACAAAAACCTAATTAAAATGTTGATGACAGTGACGTTTTCTCTTCATTTCCAACGGTATGGTGCAGGAATATCAGACAAATTTGCATTCAACATGTTGCTTGCAGATAGGTTTTCTACATTTTAAACCCTTCAAAAACTTCTAATCTTGGCACAATCTTGGCACTTCTGCCATGTCATTCATTAAAACATCTTAAAGTTCTTTCAGTGGACTTGCGAATTCAAGGGTCCACGGTTCGAATTTCACTGTTGACCGAGCTTATTTAATTTTATTTATATATTTAAAATTAATTCTGAAGGCTAGGTAAGATTCCCCATTCCGACCATTCACTGTTGGGTTTCTAAAGTGGCGTTGAGAAACAGTGAAAAATTAAAAGAACTGAAAGAGGTTAACGAATGTGTGAACGTAGCTTAGATCAGCAAAGAAAAACTTGTTTCGTACAAAAATTCTTTTATTTAAAATTGCAAAGCGTTTTCGTCATTACGCCATCTTCAGTGCTTATTGTCAGTCAAGGACTATCCAATAATATTAATCGTCATTGTGTATTATGTTTGAGGGTCCCAACTTGCTAAATCATCATCCTTATTTTATTTAAAATTATTTTTGATTTATTTCTTACAAATTAAAGTTATTTCATCCACTTTATTAGGCTATTTAAAGGGCCCCACTCACCTCGTTCTTCTCCGCCGTTTTTAACCGACAGTTAAAAACGTTGGAAGGAAGAACGTTGACTGATATGTCCACACACAACAGTTTTTTTTCGCAGCAGTTTATCACGATGGACCGTATGTGCTTGTTAGTTGTGGCAGTGGTTTTGGCAGTGGAAGAAAATCGCGAAAAGAGAAAATCTCGAAGAAAATGGACTAAAGACTGGCTACTTAAACGCAGTACATTGTCACATACATTTACTGAAGGAGCTAAGATTGGCGATTGGCACAATTACTTGAGGATGGACGAGGATACGTATCGGAAACTGTTAAAACTAGTAACACCGTTAATTGAGAGACCTAATACCCATTTACGTGAATGCATCAGTCCTCACGAACGCCTAACAGCTACTCTGCGGTGTCTGGTCACTGGCCGCAGCTACGAGGATCTAAGGTTTTCTGGTATTATTTCACCGCAGGCACTAGGACGCATAAAATACCCGAAACCTACCTATGTGTTATTCTGATGTATAAGCTACATTATTGTAAAATTTCATGAAAATCCATTTAGTAGCTTTTGCGTGAAAAATTACCAACATACATACCTCAGAATGTTCTACATCGGCATCTCCAGCATTACTTTAATCTGCATCGTCTACCAGAGGTGCGGTTTGTACGTATCCTCCGACCCAGTACCAGATTTCAAACTTTCACCTTTTTCAATTCCTTTCGGTATGCCCTCCTAGGGAATCAATTTTTTGTTTTACTGATTTAATTGTTCCATCAGCATCCACTTCTTTGTATTTCACCAGTAATGCTTCATACGCCTTGTTTTTCTTGATTCGGTCATGGTATTCCGCCGATTTAACTTTCCACACGCAAGGAAATTATCTATAAAGCTCGATAAACTCTAATAAAAAGTCTCTTTTCCACTGCCTAATATCCGACATTTTTATTATAACCAGTTGTAAATAATAATAAACACAAACATGCTGAACGTCACTGCCACTGATAAATGCCCGGCCAATCAAACTGTTGAGAACACACACCTCGTGTTTACTCGAACGGTTGGCACGGTAACCGAAAAAAATCAAGCCTCGCCTGAAATTTTGGAACGACGTGCATAAACGACGTTCTTGTCCACCTCATTTTTGTGACATTTTTACCCTGACGTTTTTAACCGTCGGTTAAAAACGTCGGAGAAAACGAGGTGAGTGGGGCCCTTTAATAAAAAAAAAAATCAAAATTTTGAGAAAATATAACACTATAATTTGCCTTATTTGTGTTATTTAAGTTAAAAAGTAGAACATTTCTATTGGACGACCCATAATATTTACACCAGACTGCCAACTATGAAGACTCTAGCCTTCATACTGCCTACTTCAGAACATGATACTCAGAACGCATATCACAAGTCATAAATAAGTCGATGTAATGTCAAAGTTCACTAACCTATAAAATATTAACTTATTGTTTTTAAAAATACTCAAATTATTATTTTTAGATAATCGATGACGGTAACGGACAAGACACAACATGCACCACTCCCGATTGGGATAAACATTCTTCCAGCAATGTTAGCGAAGTATCGGTGGCCTGTCTTCAGGACAAAATAAATCAGATGCAAGAAACTCATTATAGGTAAGATTTTATGAAATATTTTCCATTCATGGCTTTTTCTGGTTCCGTATCATAACATATCGCTTTCTAGTTCTTTTTGTTTATCAGCTTTAGTTTGATTGATTAGCCTATTTTTTTTTTCTAAAATTATCCATTCATGACTTTGTTCTGGAACCGTTCCATATTGTATCACTTTCTACTTCTTTTTGTATTTATCTGCTTCATTTTGAATGATTTCCTTTTTTTTTTTCTTCTGAACTGAATCATCTCGGTCTTTTCCCTCTATTTCATCTTATTCTTTATGGACAGCTGTTTACCAGTTTCTCTAATGAAGATAATATAGATTCTGTGTCCATTTTTTCTGTATAAACAATATTTTTTAGTACAAACGAAGAACTCCAAGCCACCCTACAGGAACTCACCGACCTGCAGCGTCAACTCACCGAACTTCAACAAGAAAACGAACGACTCAACGAAGAAAAAACTTTGATGTTCGACAGTTTGTGCCGCCAGACGGAGAGGCTCAACGATTCCAGGTCCGAGGTGGAGTCCTTGAAGCAATTGCTCTACCAGGAGAAGGACGATACGGGTCAGTTCGAGTCAGCGGTCGAGAGGGAACAAAAATTGGTGGATCTTCTGAAATCGGCGCAGGAAGAGAGGGAGGGGTTGTTAATGAAACTGGAGCAGCTCACCAATGAATTGCAGGAAACTAGAGCAGGAATAATCGAAAAAGACGATCATATCGGTCACTTGCGGGAAAGAGTGAGAACCTTGGAGTGTACTCTGGATGCTAAACATGCCGAGCATAAATTGCTGGATCAGGAGTTGGCCCAAGCGAAGGACCAATGTAGTGGCAAACAAATAGAAATCAACAGACTGACGGATTTGTTAGACAACGCTAGAACTAAGGTTAGTAATTTCCTACTTGCAGATATTTTATCTCTAGTCGCTTTGGTCTATACTCTGTCAGTGGTTCCCAAACTTTTCGTCTTGCGAATAACTTGATTAAGACGACCAATTTTATCTCCTAGGGAATGAATTGCCCGAGAATGAATAACATCTACAATCTACAGTCGTTACTAATATTCGAATATTTGGTTCAAATGGGACAATTCGATTAACTACATCTAAAAGACGAATGTTTCGTTTATTTATTTTATCAGCATAATTGATGTCCAATAGTTTTAATTGTAATTAGTGGATTACTCAGTTCACCTAGAATGTAAATTAATCATAAAGAAGGAATTGCAATAAAAATCAAAGTAAACAAAAATTGTTGCTAAAATTATTCAAATAATTTAAATCATTTGTTCTTCTAATAAGAATCGATGAGTAAATAAAAACATTTCCAAACAAACATTAAAACTAAATTAATAACATAACCTACAAAAAAGAATTAATACAAATTTTATATCGGCAGACGTTATTCTAGTTATTTCAGGCGCATTCCGGAAAAGTCTATGTTCGTTCGATACACCGAAGTAGAAGTTTTTGCGATGTTGCCATTACAATATTGTTTTCGCAAATCAAAGTTTGGGAACCTCCTTCTATGGTTCTGAAAGGTTGATTGAGACTAATTGCCGAATACAAAGACGTGACGTACTAAAATGTATTAAATTATGATATTTATTCCGTTGCAGATCAACGAATTAGAACAAGACAGGACTCTGAGCGACAAATCCGAACTAGACGAGCTCCTGGACAACGCCAGAAAAGAAAAAGATAGCTTAGAATCGGAGGTAGCCCATTTGAAAGAACAACTAGCCATTAGCAAAAACGAAATAGAAAAATTAAGAGAGCAGGTCTCGATCTTACAAGAGGAATGCAAAGTGACGAGAAATAACGCGAAAACGACTCAATCCGATCTCGAATACAAGTGCGAGAAACTCGTCAAAGACAAAAACGTGTTAAACGAACAATTACAAGAATTCCAAGAGGCTTTAAACGAACTACAGGTAAATGGGCTTTTTGTCTATCAAACTTTATTCCGAATTTCATTGATTAACATTTGCGAAACATAGTCTAAATGAATGGTTGTCTTTTTTTATAGGTCCAAAGTCAGTGTCAACTGGAAGATAAAAGACAATTATCTGCGGTTTTGTCCGAGACGCAGAGAAATCTCAGCGAGGCCGAACGCAGGAATTTAGGCCTGGAAAATGAAGTTGATGAATTGAAACGACTGCGATCCGAAGAGGTAAGTTAAATTGTTTTTCTGTTTACGTTTATAATTGCTATCTGTGTATTAAGAGCGAAAACTGCTAGTTTTCCGCTTGAGATAAAAGCTGCTGCGCGACGTGCCAGCAGAGCCCGGCAATGTATCGTAAGCTGCAAATAGCGTTCCCTCGAATTACACACAAGATTTTTTCTACGATCACTCCAGAACTATTTACGTTTGCACTTGTCATTTATATCACTTTTCATTTGTCTTAATCTGTCATGTGTCTGTTACCAATACACATTGTTGATTATCAATAAATTTATTTATCAATTACTTTAAATATAAAGTTACAAGGGTATATTTTTTCTAGATTATTAGTATAACAACGTTTATCATGGTATTTGAAATGTTTAAATGTTTATTTTATTTAATATTTATTATGGTGGTATCTATGGACGGAAGTTTACTATTTTATTTTGTTGTTAACGATTTTAGTGCAAATTCATAACATCTTTTAAGATGGAAATGATGATAGCTTTGTAAAGCCTGAATTTTATCAAATTTATTTTTTACACACAGATGTAATCTTCTCTTCAACAAAAAGTATTTTGAAATTTTTGTAAATTTATAAATCCCCAATTCCCCTTACAAAATTAAAAAATGTATCCCATTATCCCAAAAGTGAAAATATATCAAAGAAAAATTGAAATAACTGATAACTAAAGAAAGGAAAAAATGGCGCATCAGCCAGGAAATGAACCGAAAACCTCCGACTTGAGCTGTCGGTGCCTCTATCAATAGTACCACTGAGGCATATAGCTACGATAGTCGAATTTGTAGATATGAAGCCATCAGATTCCGACTCTCGTATTCTTCTTATTTATATCAGACCATGTATTTAATAGGTTTGTTCCAACAACGATCAGCAACCAGTTATTGCCACCAGTATTCTGCGCAGTAATTCTTACATTTTCCACACACATCTTACTCAAAACATTTTTTTATATATATTCATTGCTAACGAAAACACTGAAAAATTAAAATTTTACATATTTCCTAAAACTTTTCTATTATGGTTCATTCTAGAGATATCATGTGGAATAAAAATTATAGATAATAATATCGCACCAACTTTTACTTGAGCATTTATCTTAAAAATTAGAATTTTGCACTTTTTGTCAAATTTCTCGAATACGAACCATTTTAAGAAAATTTTGTATAATATAACAATTATAGAGAATAACATTACAAGAAGAATTTTCTTCTCAAATCGTAAATAACAGATATGTTCAATAATGTAGAAAAACGACTCCCTATAAAGTACCCCCAGATGTTCCGACTATACCCAAAATTTAATTTGTTCACTGAAGGATGGATTAAAGCTTAAATTTATAATTTGTTGTTTTCTTCTGTATCCGTTTTTCGAATATTCGAATACGGTCCATTTTAGGGAAATTATTTATAAAACAAAACTTATAGAAAATAATACAAGCAACTTTTATTTGAAGAATTTTCTTCTCCAAGTGTAAATAACAGATATATTCCATAAAATAGAAAAGCTCTATAAAGTACCCCCACAGATGTTCCGACTATGCCCAATCAGCTAATCGCAGGTTAGATTAGAGCTTAAGTTTAAAGTTTGGTGTTTTTCTCTGTATCCGTTCATGAGTAATCAAGTAGTCAAAACGGATTCAGGTGAGATCCCAAAACGTAAAAATCCGACGAAATCTCAAGGTCGAAAAAATTATGATTCCTATACTTTGCTTATCTGTATACAGTCAGGAAAATAAAAAGTAATCAAACTTCTTTTATGAAATCAATAAAATAATCCACTCTTGACTAGCTTCTAATATTCACCTCAAAATGGTTGATCTACGCTTAGCCTCCCTCTACAAACGTCAGAAAATCAAAACGGCATCATCAGACCCAGTAGACAATAGCTTGGTTTGCGGTTCGCATAAAATTCACATTGACGTACTTTTGACGACTACAAAGCAGAATATACAAACTTGTAAAAAGTGCACATAATTAATTAAGAATAAAAACGGTCACAATATAAACAAAATGTCCCGATTTATTGATGTAAGTTGAAGACTGAAAAACTTTGATAAAACCAGTTGACCAAACCAATCATGTAATCTCTACATTTTCTCAGCAGTGTACAAATCAACAAGTGTAATTACAATACGTGAATAAATACCTAAAATAATTTTGACTTTTAAAATCTAAATATTCAGATAGTTTGACCGAAGCAGTAATCCCTACTATGGCAGAGTAGTGATGTGATCATTCGAATATTCGTTTATTACTATCATTCGAATTAATTTGATTATACCAATATCATTCGAATCATTTAAAATGTCTGAAATTGTAATAAACGAATGAGAGTCACTTGGGGACCTATTTTAAAACTATGGGAGTACTCATTTCTCTCGAGATTTTCATGAGACATGTCATATGTCAACATGGAAATAGTATTTTTAGAACCAGTGAGATCTGACTGTTTTTCTCAGCTTTTATCAAGATAATTAATATTCTCATAAGAATTTTAATTCTTACTGGCTTTCACAATACTGTTTTTAAGCTGACATATGACATTTTTCATGAATATTTTAAGATAAATCATTTGGAATCGTTTGAAAATAGGTCCCCAGGTGACCTGTTGAAATATGGAGTAGAAAAGGCACCCAAAATTGTTTTTGCCTCTTCTCTTTTAGTGTTTCGCGTTCTAATTGGATAGATCTCTATCAAGTCGGGGAACCACTCAATCACTCAGATCAGTACGCTGGCGCCGTAAGCAAAACGATTGCATGATAAATAAAAGTAAATATTGACGTATGACGTTTTAGACTTTGGTGTACTGCGTTCTGATTGGATAGTTAACTGTCTATATATTAAATGTTGACGCATTGATCTTGACTTACCCAGTCATTGATGATGGCATATCATAAATCATTAGAATAATATGATTCAAATTTAATTCGAAATTTAATCATCCGAGTATTCGATTATGACGTTTATTCGATTATACCCATCACTATGGAAAAGTAGAGTTGGGAATGGCATGTATATTTTTACTGGGTGTTTAACCGAATAAAGAGAGGTTGATTGGTTTTATAATATTATACTTCTCTAAATTCTACTTTCGTTTGTTAATCGAGCCGTTATTTTTTATTTGTGCAATGTCTATTTTATAACTCTTCTATGTTATTTGGTTTCCTTTCTGAGTTTCTACATTTATATTGAATGTTTGTACATTCATTCTTTGTTCGATGTTGATAAGTGTTAAGTTCTACTAAAAATAAATTACATTTTTGACAGTATAAATTAGACCCATCCAGTTAGAATATTTCCAGAACAAAAGAAACAAATATTGGACCAAAATTGCACAATTACATAATAACAGCTATGATCTCGTTTTCGATTTCTCTAAGAACATTCAAGTTTTAACATGCAATATTGTGGAAAATGTTTATAACGAATTTAAAATTAGACAACTTATCACAGCAATTTTGACTGAACCCAGATAATCAAATTGCATCTTAAGGGGCGGATAATGGCATCCCTCTGTAAAATACAGAAAATGAATTCGCCTCTCAATCGTCAAAGCGACAGCATCGGACCAGGCAGACAATGAGTTGGTATGCAGTTTGCATAATATCCACATTTTCATACTTTTCTTTGGACATTTTTCAAATACGTATACTTACATGTAAAATATATCGATCGAGGAGTAACTCGTACTACGGCGAATAGAGTTAAAAACATTTGGAAAAATCTAAATCTTTTCACATATTGCTGAAATCATATTTTAACTGATCAATTGAAATACATTTCTTAGTCGATGGCATCATCTAATTGCGATAGATGTGTTTATAAAACATCATGTTGTTTATCATTGTCTAATCATAGTATTTTCTTAGTCTAACTTCCAAATATTCTTAATCGTAAACTTAAAGGAAATATAGATCAGATATAGTATTGAAAATTTCAAATTTTCTATCTTGCTCTGCTCAGGTTAATTATAAGAGGGAAAAGTCAAAAATTATCTAATAGTTGGTAAAGCTGAAAGAGGTGAAGACATAATTCACCGATGGCCGTCAAAACTCTCAACCAATTAGAGCCCGGTTAGTAAAAATGCTTGTAGTGTCCTTTATTCCACTGTAAAAATTAACATTCATTCGCTAGACAACCATTCATTAACATTCATAAACTAACTCACATTTAAATATCAATATTTTAATAAATGCCTTATTGAAAAACTTATCGGAAAATATTCACATGCATTTGGAAATGTGATAATTTCCCCTACGAAATTAAGGAATCCATCTCTACATCACCAAAGTGATAACACAAATCAAAGAAAAATTAAAAAAGCTGAGAAAAGATAAAAAAGAAAATTTGGTAAATGGTTTCAGTTTCTGCACCCGCACCCACACATACACACACGCACGCACACAAACACACATACAAATAATTTATAATGTATACTATAACACCCTGTATAGCCACTTCACAAAACACGAATTAACATGGTTTTATAAGATTTTATTAAATATCTCGAAAAACTAAACAATGTTTAAAATCTAATTAATTAAGGAAGAAAATAATGAATGACTTTAACGGGCATAAATGCCTTCTTGCTTGCGTTCGCTCGATCAAATTTCAAGTGTGCTTATTCCCTCGGCTGCGACGAGCGCGTTGTGGTACCGTGCGCTTCAGCGACGTCGGTCTCCTAATTTACTGAGTTTGTGTTTTCATTTTCACATTTCCAAATGTATACTTTAGTTTTCGGAACTTTAATCAAATTATTATTTCCATTCTTTCGAAAATATTTATTTGAAAAGAAAATTATTTTCTTATAGGTTCCTCATGACCAAATTCAGAAAGAGGAAAACTAATTTCCTTCAGCTCTTCTATATTATTTCTAGCTATACTAACTACCGTATTTTTTATATTTCATTATGTATTCTTTCTTGATATTTTATAATCATGTTGTAATTTAACTCAAAAAGGCCATTTTCAAAACGGATTTCTGATTTATTTTGGATTATTATACATATATTTGTTCCTTTTATATAAAAAATATGTTTTATTACATCTTTGTTTTGAAATCGTTAGTCCTACAAACCTCAATTTGGACACTCCCTATTTTTACAACTCATTAAGATATGCATGACCTTAACCGAAAATCCTTATTTGTTTATTTAGTTCCTCATATTTTTTATTATATATTTATTTACTATGATATTCAGATCATTGTCTGTTATCTTGTGACAAGGATATCTTTCCTAAGAACAGATAAGATACCTACGTTTGATATTTTTCTATCATAAACATAGTTGACATTAGTCATATTTTTTTATTATATGATACAGTATTCTGCAACGAGTGAGTGAGAGTGACATTATTTTGCTGTGTTTTGTGCAATTTTAAATCACGAGGTATATTGGGAAAGTTTTTTCTATAAAAAAGAATCGGTGATCTTTTTTCGGCGTCTAAATATCTCACTGCTTATATATAAAAAAAACCCTCAAATTTAATAATAAAACAACTGAATCAATTGTTAAAACGCAATCAGTTTATCAATTTATCAAAAAGTCAGAAATATCTGAAATAAGTGGCTGAATAATTTTAAAATTCAGAAATATTAGCTAAGGAGTAATAGAAATTCACTTTACAAAAATTAACTTTATTAATTAATAATGGTTGAACAGCTAATCATGAATGTATCAATCCCAGTCTATATTTCCCTTTCTTCATTGTTAAAACTGCGTCTGTCCACTCATCGAAATATTAGCAGAATATCTTGTGTCAGCGAAAGACGCACCGCAAATATATATTTAATAAATACTGGAAGCTAACAGAAACAAATCTCAAAAATCCCCCTATGAATTATTACGACCATCCTCGAACCCCAAAATTGAAAACAAATACTTGGAGATTTGAAAAACATTTGAAGAGTTTATAAAAAATAAGTGTTAAAATAGTTTTTCCTGGATACACTTTTCATATTATGATTTGTTTTAAATAAATTGAGGAAGAGTCAAAGTCAAAAGTTAGATATTTAATTATTTGACACAGTTGCATTTATACCTTGCCATTTTAAAAATAATCAATCTGCAACTTTCAAATTTGAAGAGTTTATAAAAAATTAGTGTCTGATTGTTATTACAGAGTTTAGATTTTCTTATCGTTTGCTTTCTGTTCTTTTCAGAACGAAGAATGGGAGAAATTCCAAGACGATCTTTTAACATCCGTTAGAGTAGCGAACGATTTTAAGACCGAGGCCCAACATGAATTGCAGCGTATGATTTTGGAAAACAAATCGTACAGAGACAGAGAAAGACAATTGAAGGCGGAAATAGAGAAGCTGAAAGGTAAGTGGCATTCATTTAAAAACGAAATTGGGTTCTGTTCACAGGATTTTTTTTTTTTTTAATATCTATGTATGTATTTTTTTTACTAATATATTATTGTCAAAGCACTGGTCTACAATAAAAGTAGTAGGGAAATGAGAGATCACAATGAGTAGGTCATTAACCTTGAATTTTCCAAAGTCATCCTAGACAAGATGATTTAATTGACATCGTTCAAGGCTATTAATAAATTTTATTTATTGAAAAATGAGCTTAACAAATTGACTTTCTAAACTAAAATCTTGAATTACTTATAGGTTATGACTTGGGATTTTCGACAGGAATGACCTTCTTTTTATTTCTCTTATTTGCTTACTAACACTGATTGTTCTCGAACCAATTTGATACAAGCTTAATTTATTTTTACATTTTCGGGAAAATTCTCAAAAATACTTTTTAAATTGTTTAATCGTATAAAAGATTAATTTTTATTGTACTATCGCTTCTTAAAATCTTTGTGAACAACCATAACAACCAAGCTTACTTGTAATTGTACGCCTAGACTTGTTCTGTTCTTTATTGTACCTAACGTTACGTCCAATTTTCCCAAAACTAAAAAAGTGCGAGTTAAATATTATTATTTCGAAATTTTCGGACACATACTTATGTGGGACTTAGTTATCTGTTTTGTGCTTTTAAAAACTCTTACTGTGTCTTAAATCTATCAAGTAACTGCTTTATGTGTGTGTGCGCGGCAAAAACGAAGTGCATTGAAGTTCATTCTTCTATATTTTGCTTCTCAATACTAGGTGGGAATCTAAAATTAGAAGCAGATAAGGAAAACATGGAGCTCTTAATCAAAAGGCCTAACAGAAACAGAAATAAACCGACAAAAGGCTCTGGTATAGTATCTAGCAGTTATAAACCCAAAAAAGACTCTGGTACCGTGTCTAGCAGTTCTAAACCAAGAAAAGATTCTGGTACCTTATCTAGCAGTTCTAAATCTGATAAATCACTAAGTTTACCCCAAAATCTATCAGTAAAAAGAAGGGAAAACAAATCTTTGAAAGCCAAACGTCTAAAAACTCTATCGGTCGAAGAAGGAATGCTACTTAGCTCTTTAGATAACTATCACCGAAACATAGACAAAACTTTACCAGACGAATTCTTAACGGAAGAAGAAAAAGTCATCAGAAAATTAAAAATCATCTTTGAAGATGACTTTCTCAAAGTCAAACCGGTTGCTCCTAAACCGAAGGACCAGTTGGCAATCAGCAAGCCTTTACTGGATTCCGTCCTTACGAATCCAAAACTGATGGCCATACTGAAAGATCCCAAAGTCAAAACCGTAGAAGATATGGCTACTTTTGAAAAAGATGCTCCAGAAATCAGAAATCTCATCCAGAATATCGACAGATCGAAGAAAGGCCAAAGCGAAGATCTAGGCAAACCCGAATACACCAAAAGGATATCCATAATCGGGAGATCTATGAGTTGCGATCACGTAAATAGATTCGAAGATCCTGAAGGTAATTTAAGACTGTATAGAACCACCGAAGCCGAAGATTTGACCCAAGATGTCCGTTGGAGAGAATCATCGAGTCTGGTGCCCAGCGATTCCGCCTCAAACTATAATAGATACAGCGATTTTTCGCTTGTAGTAAACAGCAACGAAAATATAATTAAAGACAACGTCAAATATTCCACTCTTGAAAGAATCGTTAAGACTATTCCTAAGAACGCTCCCGAAGCAGCCCTTAATAAAGAACAACTATTCGCACTGAAGCTCCTACAAGCTTTAGAGGAACGAAAACGTACTTTAAAAAAATCCGAAAAAGCCAAAACCTTACCGATTAGCGTCCCAACACCGGATTCTGTCCTACAAAATCAGAAACTTAAAGAAATCATATACGACCCCAACATGCAAGACATCAGACGCAAATCTGAGCCCCTATCACCACCGGTTGTGCAAAAATTGACGAGACAAAGTCAAAGTTACGAAAACATAACTTTTAGGTTTGAAGATCGCTCACATGCCGTTAACGTTTACCTCAGTGATAGCGAATCATCATCAGAAACATTTTCGAGCGCTGAATTTAACGTTGAAACTGGTCAAACTGGCCCTTACGAACCCATTGAGGATTGGAGAAAGCCGCCAGGTACGCCTAAGGTGTCTAGGAAGATGGAATTGACCACTTTCGGAAAAAATTCTGTATCTAACATCGAACAGAAGAATAAAACTGGTTCTAAAATGCAATTGCTGAAAGACGAACTGGATCAGCTATCGCAGCCAATAAGTTTAAACGATAACAAAAAGCACCACATTGTGCAAACTAGAATTGAAATAGAACCAAACGGCTACAAAGAGAGGCATATATCTACCATAAATCTAGATGACCATAAATATAGACATAGAGATGATATCTTTTTAGATAGGGATTTAGTTGACCAACAACCAAGCCAAGGTGGCAACAAAGATAAATCTAGATCTAGCAAATATCAAGAGGAGCATACCTATAGACAAAAAGAAGATACATTTAAAAGTAGGGATAAAGTAGTTGACTCTTTGCTATATAATGAAACACTAACTAAAAAAGGAAAAACAGTGGCGCTAGAAGGTGACTACAAGGTTGATCTTTTGCAAGAAAAGATCAAGAAAAAAACCAAAAAAGAACAAAGTGATGTGAAACCTCAAGCAAATATATCTAACGAAAATAAAAATGAAATTAAATATGAAACTGATGATGGTGAAACGGAAAAAAACGTTTTGAACTATTCAAAGGTTGATAAAACAGAAGATAAAATTCCAATTATTCTTCATGTTGCTTCTATAGAAACTTTGGAAGGGTTTCAATCTCACGATACTGATTCCTTAACTTACAACGAGACTCTTACTAGAGCAATTGGTAGAAGATCGCCTCATCCGACAGAATCAAAAAACGAACCAAAAACTCCACTCTCCATAGATGAACCAACATCTTCTCCCTCCATAGTAGAAACAACACCTCCTCCCTCCATACATGAACTAACAGCTCTTCCCTACATAAATGAACCAACATATCCTCCCTCCATAGTTGAACCAACATCTCCCTCCGTAGATGAAGCAATTAAAAATATTTCCGAGAAGTTTCAAGAGATTCGCAAACTGATAACAGAAGATGATGAAAAAGAAAAACCTCGTCTAGATGTAGATATTAAAAACTTTAAACAGGAAAATCGAGTTTCAGAACATTTATCGACCAAAGCGGATGATTTTGTTGCCGCTGATTCTACAATAATTGATGAAATCGATGGTTCGCCAAATCAATCTACAGATTACGATTATCATTCTATTTTAAAAGAAAACCGCGTTGGTGTAACCTGTCCTTTAAACCACAGGTTAAGTTACAACCACGTGGTCAATGAAATTAGGAAAAGATTCTCCAGCACCGATTTCCAATCGGATGGTGAGAATGAACACAATGCTGAAGAAGCAGATGACGAAAGAGATATTGATGATTCGTCCAAAGAGTTAGAAGAAGCAAATTTTCAAAGAGAAATTGAGAATTATCCCGAACAAATTGAGAATTCTCCAGAAGAAATTAAGAATTCTTCAGAAGAAATTGATGAACAAGGTGTTCAAACAAAAATTGATAATGTAGTCAAAAATATTGACGAAGAAGAAGATGTTGAAGTTAGAGCGCGCAGTTCTAGTATCGATAAAGAAATGGACGACATTTTGGAGAGTTATTTGCATACCAGAGTTTCCCAACTAATAAAGCAAACTGAAGGTAAACCATCAAAAACAATTGAACATTCTGTTTACTCTGATTTTGACAGGAAGCTGAACGAAATTGTTCAAGGTTCTTTCAACATTGATGACTTAGACAGTAAAAAGTCAAGCATAGATTCGATAAATCAAACCGAATTTGAAGATAAAGATATTATGCTGTCTCAAGAGTTGCTTGAAACGCTAATAACATCTGACGAGTCAAAAGAAATTCCTTACCAAAATCTTGAACCAGAATTAGCAGATTGTGCTTTGCAATTTGAAGAAAATAAAGCTAAAGATTATTCGAAACTATCGCCGACAGAATTAACATTTTCGGATGATTCTTATTTTGAAATAAAAGAAGGAAATGTAACAAATATCAAAGCTAGTTTGAATATTGACGCCAAAGAAAATATTAATGATATTATAGAAAGTACTAATAAATTTATAGACGACCAAAGAAAGATATCCATAAAATACCCTATTTCAAATAGAAATAAAAATTCAAATGATTTCATTGAAGATAAAGAGGTAAGTAGCGAACCAATCAAACCTTTTCCAGAGTATGAAATTGTATCACTTAAAAAGGACATTCCAGAACAGGAACTTAAAGTTTTACAAAAAGATGTTGATACTCTTTATCAAGTTTTTGATAATGATAAAAGTGATATTCATGAAAAACGCGAAAATACAAGTCTATTAGACAATAATCCAGTAAGTACCAATGAAATGCCAGATGAAAAATCTTTTGTACCACCGATATCAATACCGACACTACCAGAATACCAAATATTGACCAAAGAAGAATTAGAGCTTGTACGAAGAAGCAACCAGAGATTCCCAAGGCCCTTATCAGAATTTAATGAACACGACCTTGAATTAGTTAAGGCTATCTCAATATACTATGAAGATGAACCTAAAGAAATACCAATTGGCCATCAAACTCGCGTTGAGACAAAACTTGAAATCAATGAAGATCTCACAATAGAAGAACAATCTTTGGATAATGCCAGTGATGCAGAAATACTATTGGGTCTAAAGGAAAATCCAGTTAAAGATGTGAAGAAAGAATATACCCCGTCTGATAGACGTCCTCTTTCAAATCTTAACCAAAGAGATCTTGAGTTAATCGAAAAATTAACAAAAGATTATTTACTAGATGCAGATAAATCTAAAAATGATTCCGAAAGAACTGTAGATCTGCTTGGAGAAAACAAAGAAGAGGATCTACCAAAACAAGTTGAAATTATTACGAAAGATTATTTACTCGATGCAAATAAATGTAAAAATGATTTCGAAAGAATTGTAGATCTGCGTAGAGAAAACATAGAAGGGGGTACACAAAAACAAGGTGAAATTATTATAACTAAGGAACCTTTACCCAAACCAAGAAAGACCAAAGATATTACGAAAGATAGTATATCTTCCAAAACAGATATTGAGCCATCAAAAAATCTTGAGATAGGTAGAAAAAAAGATCCGATACCTATGCCAAGAAATAAAAAAGATGCTGCTGATGATTTAGAAACGTTGCTGACCCAGATGAGCTCACCCAGAAGGAAAGTAATTAAAAGAAGATTAATTAGCGAAAAGACTGCACCAGCTCCCTCTGAGTCAGTAATTGAACCTATCGACAAACCAGAAGTAGTACAAGCCAAAGAAATAGATCTTGAAGGATTTGACGAAAATAATACAAGAAGTGTAGATGATATAAATATTGTTATTGGTGTTGAAGAAACAGCTAAAGAAAACAAAGATGAAAATGATGGTATCCTAGAGTCAGTTAAATCAGAGGATAAAGGACTTGTGGAAATTGAAATGAATAAAACGAAGTTAACAAATCATAAAAGCGATGCCGATGATAGTAGAGCAAATACTTTAAGAAAGAAACGCGAAATGCACGTTATATTGTACAGAAATAACAAACCAAATAATAGACAAAATGCAAAAAGTCTAACTTTATCGGTAGATGATAATAATGCAGCCAATGAATTGAATAAAAATCGATTAAGTTTAGATCTAACAAAATCTGATGCTGATACTACAATAAAAGAAAAAAAAGTCAAATCTTTTGCACAGCACTTTGAGCGAATTTCACAGGAACGTAGTAAATACGCCCAAAAAAGAAGCGAATTAAAAACATTTGAGGTCAGAAAGAAATTGCCAGAGGTTCCATCTATCGGAAAAACAGATAAGAAACCCATACCGATTCCCAGAATCAAAAATCAAGGTACCAAAGATCCTGTCAATGATGACAGTTACGCTGATGACAAGAACAATGAAGTACTGAGAAAAATGTCGCAATGTGAAGAAAATTTTAGTGGAAACGACCGTGCTAATGTGAAGAAGGAAACCGAAGCCGCTGGGGTTAAATTTAAGGTTCACGATAAGGTCGATAAAGTCAATAACGAGGTACCCGGTCTAAACGAATCTCAAAATTTGGTTATTGACGATTATAGCTCCATTTCAACAGACGAAGATGAAGGTGATGCCAATTCAATTGAAGATGGAGTTATTAGAAAGAGTGACAAGTTTTTGGTCGATCGCATGCCTGTAAATGATGATGACTATTTGGATGATACTGATGGGGTAAGTACCTATAACATTTTTTGAGATTTTTAATAAAAACTTAGGCGACACACTTAATAAATTTGCTATTAGGAAACACATTTTAGATTAACAAGGGACATCTTGTTAGAAGAATTGTTAAAATGAGTTCAACGTGAATAATGGTGAACCCTTATATTTTTGTAGGCTTATTGATAAAGTTTAGAATTACTCTGATTTTAATAATGGTGGATCCTATTAATAGGCCGTATTAAGAGCCAGAAGTGGTAGGTACGATTCATATCTAAGCCGACAGTTCTAAAACAAAACGAGGCTCAGGGTATTGATTTTACTGATCCTTAAACCTGAACCTAAAATGAGTTGTAAGTAATAGTATCAGTGTAGTTCAAAATGAGCTAACGGGGATTCTGATGACACCAAAAGAAATTACCAGAAATAATATAACTGATAGGAACACTAATCATTTATACAGATAGGTTTACTTACTCTGAACGGACCACAAAATTTACTGAGGGTTAGTATTAGAATGGCACCAGAGCCTTGGCCGAAGTCTCCATCAAAACAATGTGTTTGCCTTAAGATGGATCAAAGGCCATGCTCCATCGAAAGGAAACCATCTTGCTAATTCATTAGCCAGGAAGGCAGCCAACCAAATACTTTTTGAACCTAGCCCTTCCATTGGACTAACAACATCGTTGGTGAAAAACCTAATTAACATTCCCTTGTTAAATTCAAGGAAGCGTGAGATGAAACAAGAAGGTGCATAGTTGCTAGGGAGCTTTTAAGTTATCCTGACAACATTACAGCAAACAAATAGTTGACTAAGACTAAACAGAATCTGCGCTAGATCAGTTATTTTGACTGGTAATGCCAAGTACGGATGCATCTTCATAGCATGGGCCTGTCAGACTCCTCACTCTGCAGAGGGTGCGAACAAGATGAGGCTATCTTGAACATTTCCTCCATAATTGCCCGACGCTGTCATCTATTAGGCCAACACTAAGAGAGGCACCTATCGGCGTCTTTGTCCAATACATTAAATCTGTAGGCTGGCAGGCGAGCTTAAGCAAGGCCTATCAATTTAGGACAACCCACAATGGGCCTAGTAAGGTCTTGAGGTCTCTCCTTACAGAGAGATGGGCTATATTAAATGCGTGAATGATCTACAATTGAAATGTAGATTTGTACAAATATGGCGGGAAAATTTTAAATTCAATAAAAAGCGCTAAAGTTTTGTAATAAAAACAATTCAGTTCTATAAAATCAAAGCGACAAAGAATCTAGTGAAACCAATTCATTGAATTTTCTGTTGTCTTTTGTTCGACAGGCCAAAGGATCCTACTCAGTCATAGCGGTTGCTGGAACAGCAGAAAAACTAGACCTCAGAAAACCGTCCAATCTAACCGTAGAACCGTCAAGCCTAAATCTCTTCCATCTAGATGCATCGAGTATGGAGGATCATTACATCGACGCCACCAACTTCAGTTACGAAAGAAGGAAAAAAATCGGTGCTACTTACATAGGAATAACAGATTCGGATAATGATACTCTAGAATCGACCGATTCTAAACCAAAAATTGTAGATTTCGTACCTTTGGATGAAGCCACCAAGCCTTACTACAAGAACAACAATATACCGGATTACAGTACCTTGGAAAGAGAAAAAACCTATCAGATTTTAAATGCTGTATCCAAAGGAAAGCTCACCGAGGCCGCTGTTGAAAGTACGGCAACTAAAAACGACAGCAGAAGTAGCTTTTCGGCAGCAAAAAAAATATTCCAAGATCTAGAATCTAAATCCGACAAAACCGGTGTTAACAAAGTGACCATTACTAAGAGACAGTCTAAAGATTTGTTGGATAATCCCGAGGAGTCTTGTACTGAAAGTACGACCCATAAACTGGGGATAGAGCTAGCTCTCGAAGCCACTACGAAGCCAGCGCAGGAGAAGATTGATGAAATATAATTTCTAGATTTTTTAAAATGTAATTGGGTTTATTAAACATTGATATTGTTTTTTTTTGTACAGTGCTTTTATAGAGATTTATGTGATGTATGAAAGAATTAAATTTTTTTAATATTAAATCAGGAAGTGTTTTATTGAAAATTCCACACCTGTAATTTTGAACCAATCAAAATACGTGTTTTTGACAGATCACCATGGCAACGGAGGTATTTTAGTGGAAATTTTTTTTCTCGTGGGGTACCCAACAGCGAATTATACTGGAAATTTTTTGTCGTTTACAATAACAGACCATTTTTGACAGACTGGTTTTCATTTGTTCACATAATAGGTTTAGTTTTGATACATTTTAGTTACAATGCTAAGGTGTTTTCTATATTCTTCGGCCACTTCTTTTCTTCTTAATGGCGAAAATGCAGGACTTTGGATGCTTTGAATTATGTGTCTATGTCTAATAAAATATATATAATATTTAGACACTAATTTATTCACCTTTTTCCCATTCAGCACTTTGAATTTTGCGTAGTTTAGGTGCAAATATTCGTGGACAATTCGGAACAAATTTTCGTGTTTCAAGTTGGACCCACAATCCTCTATTAATCCGAGTAAGTAAGTCATGGTGCAATGATTGATCATTACATCAGACAATTTCACGCATATTTTGCATAGCGTATGATTTTCAAATCGATTCATTTTTAAACAAATAGGTAATTTTGTTGGTTTTATTTGCTGTGCAATATTCTTTATCGCAACAAAACGCGAGTTATTTAATGTTTTGAACTGTCAAAATACAATGATCACAGCCTCCTACGATTGATGCTTGCTGACGCTGGTTATGAATTTCATACCATTTTAAAGCGCTCATAACGCATGTTAATAAAAACGCAGAAAAACAATTTTCTACCACTTGTAGTTATTCAAAACTTACGTAAAATTAAAGAATATACCATTTTCTATTTTCAAATGGTATTCCCATGCAACTACAATGAGTAGAAATAAGCAATTTGAAGGCCTAAATAATTGCAGCGAAACATTTTTTTACGTCGGGCCGCTTGACAACTTCAAAACTGAAATTATATTCGAGGTTAGGGTCTCACTTAGTTACCATGACAACTCAACAATCAAGGCGACAACACCTTTTATGTTTCACTGGTGACTTGGAGAAAATAATTTGCATTGTTGAGAAACGAAAAATAAATTTTAAAAATATTTAATTTTCAACCATAATTCGGCGTGGAATTTTCTTACCGAATACCACGCGAGGTCAAATTAATATCAGTCTTTTGAGACTGCCCTGTTGCAATTATGATTGATGATTCAAGGATAAAACAACCACTGGGGAATACAGTTTACTAGAAATGATTTGGGAAAAAAGATGCATGTTGACATACAAAAAAATGGTGGCAGGGAAAAAATAGATAGAAGATGCTTTGCAGAGAAAAATTACTTTTCTTAAAGAGAAAGATGATGTTAAATGTCGACTTAGCTACTGTAGTGGACTAAGAATATTAATACATTTTCACAATATCAACCAATCAAAGAAAATGGGATGACGTGGTGCCCAATTGTTTCAAGGTAGCACTTCACTCTGGCAAAGAGAAAGTCCTCACTTCCTCTTAAGTTTTGGAAGTGTATTATTTATTAAAAAAAGTGTATAATATTTACATTTTAAGGTAAGCTAGTTCTATTTAAATCCATTTGATATATTTCCCTCGTTATTATGAATATTTTAAAAACTAAATTTTTGGTGTTTGATGCACTATACTTAAGTACAATTTTGTAACTTAAGGACAATTTATGAGTTTCTAGGCGTACAATTACCAATTAATTTTTTTTTATAGTTTTTCATCAATTATTTTTCATATTTATCTTTTGTTTATTTCGTGTCGTTTAGTAACTACCGATCCAGTCCCTTTGACAAGACCGACTAGTTTTCCTGGGGAGGACGTGGCTTTAAGAAGAAAAAACATCGCGCTCAGTAGACAGAATAGCAGACAATCCGTGAAATCGCTTATTGAGAGTATCGAAAGCCACGCTAAACCCGTTTTACCCAAAACTGGTAAGTGATCTTCGTTTACCTACTGCTTTTCCACCTTGATATTGTGCTCTTTTATTTAGTTCAATAATGTGTATACCTTTTTTAAGACCTACATTTCTACAGGAAAAACCCCGTTTATTTAATACCCTTACATCACATTCACCCCCATTTTTGAGTCGGATAGTTGGATTAAAAAACTATTGACCAAATTTAAATTAATTGACTATAGTGCCAGCCTAGATCCGAGAACTCGAAGGTGATAGACATTGCTAGACCATGATATTTATTATTGATAAAATCTTACAAATTGATATGTGATATATCGAATATTTATTTCAGCTGCTAGTACAGTTTCTAGGAGTAGCTCTACTTCGTCGATAAATTCATCAGCTTCAGATATGAGAGGACCGGCGAGTCCATCTATCTTACCCACCCCTTCTCCGGCGTCTCCGTTACGTTCACCCGATTGGCCGGACATAAGCACTAACGTGTCCCAAGCGAAGACGCCCTTAAAGGAGCAACAACCGAATAAGTTGAATCGGGATTGGAGCAAGAATGTTATTAGTGGTGAGTAAGCTTTTTCTTCCTTTATATCTGCAACAATCAAAGTTTCAATTGAAAAACAAAACTCCATATTGTAGGGATACTGGGCTCTCTAAATCATACTCAATTACCACTACGGCATTTTTATTCTCCATTCTTACTTTGAACATCTAAAAAAACTGGTAACTAATACCAAATTTACGATGATTTTTTTTAGTAAGGTCTGTTTGAAAACATTAATTGTTTTTCTTAGGTTCTACATACTTTAACTATTTTTCTACTTAATTCATAATTTCTATTTTTGTTTGAATATTGTCATATCGCTCAATAAGATGGCCGCCAAGAAAATCCTTCAGGAACTGAAACAAGTGATAGTCACTCGTAGCAAGGTCTGGCAAGTAAGGCGGATGATCCAGTTGTTCCCATACAAAAGACTTGATTAGAACTTGTGTTTGTACATTATGTGGCCTCGTGTTGTCGTGGAAAAAAGTCACACCTGACGACATTTTCGAACTTGTATTGTCACTTATTACTCTTTTGCGGTAAACATATCTGACGGCATTTAAAAACCAAATCACATCGTATCTATTCACAAACGGACCTTACTTAAACCATTTAGATAGCCTAGTAGAACAACCTTATGGACGTTTCAAGGTAATCCTGTCGCGACATCTGTTGGAATAAGTTGGAACTTCATCAAAATTGGCCGGCACGTAGCGGTCCATCAATCATTGAGTATAAAATTCTAAATACATAAAGTTTTCTTTATTTTTAAATTCATTTGGGTAGATTGCCAAGATTAAATTAATATTGTTATATTCCCTAAAATGATTATAAATCGTAAATAAATTTAAATCAAAAATAATAAAACTCGTATGTCTCATTTTTAAATCAAATATTCTGTTCATACTTAATCGACTATCGGTACCGTCTATTAGTAAGTAGATAAATTACGTTCGCTATTAAGTTTCGACAACCGTTCGAAGGTTTGGTAGAAGACGACAAAATCAAAGACATGACTTGGGCACGACGTAGCTTGCTGCCATCTATTGCTACTGACCATTGTCCTACAAGATAATTTACTTTGTGATTGTTCTACTAGGCTATCTAAGTACAATGCTTAAACACAACGAATGCTAAATCGTTAATTAATTGTACGTTCAAATTTGTTGCAGTTCTTGTTCCAATATTTGAGACAGTATTGACGCAATATGATTAAATCATGTCTGGATATAGGCAATTTTTTACCAACATTGCTAGGGTTTTTGTGGTCAATGTTTTATTTATTCAATTTTGCAAACATTGTTGACGATTGTAAAAGAGTCTGAGTTCTGACAATTTGTTAAAAAGGTGGCTTTGTTTCGTTAGGCTTCTTTTGTTTGTGGTTCTTGTTCCAATATTCGAGAATAATATGTGCACTTTGACAGTAATGATGGAATATCATTGTATCATGTCTGAATATAGGCAGTTTTTTCACCTACATTGCTGAGGATTTTGTGCTTGGATTTTTTATTTATTCGACATTTTGACATTAAATTATTAGTTTATTGAATATTTTACGATTGTCAAAAAGTCCGAAGGAACCCTATTGTGGCAGTTTGTTAAAAAGATGGGTTTCTTTTGTCTTTATTTTTATGTTAGAATTTGTCTCTATGAAACCAATTTTATTGATATTTTAATAAATACTATTGTTGAATAAATTTTAAAATTCGGAAAATAAATCTCAAAAATCCACCTATGAATTATTAAGACCATTCCCGAACCCCAAAGGTGAAAACTCATACTTAGATATTTGAAAAAAAAAAGCCTGTCAGCACCAGAATTCGAACCAAGACGTCTTTGTTCTGTACACAAATGCCCTAACCTCTGGACCATCGCGACATTACCTATCGAGATTCCCAGCCGTTAGTTTGGTGTGCTAATTCGGGCCAAGCGCCGTTTCAGGCTCGTTTTCAAATGCCTCTATACAACATCAAAATGCATTTCTCATATATATACCGATGATGTATACAGGTATTTAAAGATTTGAGAATGAACCTGAGCTTGGCCCGAATTAGCACATCAGACTAATGAGTTGTCTCCCAAGATTCAAAATATTACATGGTACCAATAAGGTCATGTCCGAATTATTTCCCAGGTTATTTCGCAAAAAATAAACATATTGAAAAAAATTTAAAAAAACTTCACTACTTTACCTAATCTGTGCGGCCTAGAGCCATCGCGGGTTGCTTCACTAAAAATTATACATAAAATGAGAAAATTTACCTAACCTGTGCGTAAGCGTTTGGTTATATTTAAATGGCTCCAGGCATATTTCCTTAACACTGATGGCAATTGTCAAGAAGTGAAAATAAATCCAACAATAGGTTTCTTTCGCTGGGCGCCAAAAATTTGTTATGCTTCTTGTTCCTATTAATTTTTTCGACATTTTAAATGATTTGTTTATTGAATACTTTATTTAAGTGATTTAATATTTATTTTTTAACTAATGATTTATATATATTTTTTTTCAGAATCGATAACAAAGACTGACATTGTTAAACCTAAAAACGAAGATGGATATAGGGAGACTATATTGCAAAAAGGAATTGATTTTTCTAGGAGGAATAGTTATTCCGATTTAAGTAAGCGAAACAGTCATACTATAATTTATGTTTTATCAATAGGCATAATTTAGTTTCTATTTAATTGCATGTAATAATCTCTGTCTTAGATAAAATATTTTGTGCATTCCTTAAGAATTATTTCAACATTTCAGGTGAACGAAAAGACCCGCTAAACGGACTGGTAAAGAACGGCGGTTCAAAACGGAACGCGCTCTTGAAATGGTGTCAAAACAAGACAGTGGGATACAGAAACATCGACATAACGAACTTTAGTAGTTCCTGGAACGATGGTCTCGCCCTTTGCGCCCTTCTACACACCTACTTGGCGGATAGAATTCCGTACGATAGTCTGACGCCGCAAGAGAAGAGAAGAAACTTTTCATTGGCGTTTTCGGCTGCCGAAAGCGTGGGAATACCCACCACTTTGGTAAGTAGACGCTTTTACAACACCATATTCGTAAGTTGATCCTTGAGAATAATCTGAGTTACTTCAAAGTGGCAGAAAAACTAAATATTAACAAAATTCTAAAAAGTCTAATTCATGACACTCACAAACTGTTTGAATTTCCCAGTAATGTCCTAAATATCCTGAGTACTTCAAAATAAATATCTTCAAACACATCCCTTTCTAGCGATTGTTCATCTGCGACATCAAGCAATTCAATTTCAAATTTACCCCCTCAAATTGTTGCTTTAAATCCTTGCGTGTTTTTATTCTATCCAGAATATGTCCTCTTTTATCCAAAGTATAACTACAAAAAAATGTTACTTAACTAGTTAATGAGCTCTTTGCATCGGGCCTCCATTTCTTCCGATCAACTAAATCCGCCGTATTCAGTATTTTTTTGCTTCAATTAATACTCCTAATAGTTTGACCCAAATTGTAAATCCAATAGAATACCTCAATGAATCCAAACTCCTAATTTTTGTTTTTGCACAAAAAAATCCGACTCGAAGGACTAATGTTTAGTTCTTAATTAAATAAAGTGGACTGTATAAGACTTACGTATATTACAGAAAAGATAATTAACATAGGCAAAAAACAGGTCAGCCCTGTAAGAAATTAAATCTTACTGACATAAAAATATTCAATGGACCCAATGGTTCGGTGGCCGTTGATACTATTCGGTAACATCTGAGGTTTGCCTATTTGTCAAACCACCCGGTAAAATATCCAACGATTTAAAAAGATTAATTCAGTTATATGTATTTTTCAGTGCTGATTTCAAAAATAAAATCCATAGTTTGTAAACAATCCGTCAGGTAATTTTACAAAAAGAGTGAGTATTTTGGGTAAAAAAAACTCAATTTTAAGGCAATTGTATAATTTTTTTTTAAAGGTTCTAAATTTTAATAAATAAAAAGAGGTCATAGTTTACATTTACACAACAGAATATTTAAAAAGCGCCTAACTATAGAGTAAAGTTCTTGCAAAAGCGCTTTCACTATACATCAAAACTTCTTTTTGTGCTCTTTCTGCTGTTGATAATTTGAGGATCGTCCCCTTTTAATATTCAGCAGTAATCTGCTACGATGTTAACATTCCATCTATCTTGGTACCTTTTTTCAATTTCCTTGATGTCTTAATGGAACCTGTCTTCACTGATATCATCAAAAGTCAAAGTGTGATTGGAAAAACACAACTTTTATGCTCATATTATAACCCACCTTCATGAAGTTGTCTAGCATGTCAACGTCGATTGACGTAGTTTGGGTCCTTATTGTTTCCTAGAAAACTGGTTACAACTAGTTTAAAATGTACCCATGCTGATTGTTCTTTTTTTCTCATCCCTCATTAGCTTTCTGATGGCAGGTTCGATAAACACTACTTCTTTAATCTTTGCCTGGGATAACTCAGGAAACTGCTCAAAACGTTCTCCTTCTTCTGACAATGACCGTAGTGGAAGTAATATCTTTTGCAAGGTTTTTCTCAGTTGCCATTCTTTTTTTATACAGTGTTGTTTCCTGTCACAGATGTGACAAAGAAAGGTAGGTAACTTTGGCTATCCACTCTGTTGACCAAGCAACACTGAAATCACTTTTAAATCGCCACACACATCGTCCATTTATGATCTGAAAAACAAATTTTATTTAAGATTAACTCAAGATTTGCATAACATTCGTTTAGATGGACCCAATGTCCAACAGGCACTGAAACATACTTATTGCTGTGGTGTAGAACTGCTTTTATGCTTCTTTTGGACGAATTTATATAAAATCTCCATTCTTCCGGAACATATTCTTTTCCAAATCTGACCATAACTCCAGGAAAATCAATACAAATAAACAAGGCCACCTTCTTGAGAGAAAAAAGGCACAAACTCCTTTTCACTAGTTCAATACTAAGAAAAACACATACCTGAATCCAACAAATGTGTTCTTTCAATCCAGTTCCTAAAACTTCTGCAGAAGACTAACTAAATCGTTCAGTTCAGATTGGGTGAACAAAATAGGTTCTTAGGTTCATAACAACTACTGTCTTCATCACCATCACTAGCAATGATTCGGGATCATCTAAAATACTCATATCATCCAGAGAATCCATCGATAAACCAATTAATCTATTAAGAATACAAATAACATTTAATACAACTACATGAGGAATACAAAAAATATTTTGTTTAAAAATAGTTTAAACCTTGACAAAGCTTTCTTAAAAATCAATAATAATGTCGATATATATCGGGACTGGGACGAAGCATGAACTCCACACGATCTGTGTCGAAAGCTCTGATTCGGGTCTAACACAAGCGCGATGCACTGAACTGTCACACTAGCGATAGCGCGAATGTTTGAAAAGGTACAAGACCGTCTTTCAGTGATTTAAAACCGAACAAAATCTTTCATATTTTCTTTGTTGAAACCTTGCACGTTACGGGAACAAAAATATTTTTAGGCCCTCTTCAAACCATAAATATTCCCAAAACGAAAAGACTAAACATGTTAATTGTATCAAAACAGTACGTGATGGAATTGTTTCAATAATTTTCCCATAATCGGCGCCAAAAATACTATACTATACTGATTACATTTGAGACAATTTTTTTGACCCAGACCTATGTAGTTGAACAGAATCAAATTAAAACCAATCGTAAACAGATCCATTATTAATCAATTTTATTTGTTTTTCTTGCAGAATATTAACGACATGATCCAGTTGGAGCGCCCTGATTGGCAGCAGGTGATGAGCTACGTAACGGCGATATACAAACATTTTGAAGCTTGAAATCAACCTTTTAAAAATAATTAATTTTTCTCTGTGATAACAGCTTTTACAAAAAAACGTCTTTCTCCAGTACTGATGTCGTCGATGCGACCCAACGCGTGACTCTCCGAGAATGCCGTATTTGGGGGCCGATTTGTTAAATTTGTTTCGTTGGGCGACAAAATTTGTTAGGGATCTTATTCCAACTTTTGAGAATAATGAGAGTAAAACGTAGAGTAGAACGATCAAAAGGAATGACTTTCATAGTTTCCTTCTTTATCTAATTCCTCGTAATCCATTTTCTCTATATCCTCTTCTATTTCTTCTTCGTACTGTAGATTTAGTGGTGTGAATAATTTTCCACGTTGGTATAATATTTTCTCCAAATATGGCGAATTTTTTATGCATTTAATGATTGCATTTCGCATTTTTCCTTACCTTCCATGATAATAATAATCAAAAAAATTGTGACGGGATCTTTTTTCCACTATTCCAAACAAAAAGAGTGATGCATATTGCCTTCATTTGTTTAAACGTAACTCTTTGATTAATTTAACGACCAGTTATGAGAATATTTCGTTAAATTCGACGAAACAATTATCAGGTTCGAAATGTTTTAAGAATGTACTGCTTTGAATAAGTCAAGATGAATGCGGAAAATGAACATCTTTTAAATAACGTACCATGTTCTAGTAGATGTTTCAATTTTAATAATCGTCATATAAACTATTCTGTGCACTAATAAAATCTGTTGTTCACCAATAAAACCTGTGACCTTATTAAATCTGCTGTGTCCTTATTAAATATATCATACATTTATAAAATATATTTATAAAATCTTTCGTACTCGTGTAAAACATGATGTGCACTTATAAAATCTACTTTGCACTTGTTAAATCTGTCTTGCGCTTATAAAATCAATCCAGCACTTCTAAAATTAGTCCCGCACTCATAAAATCTGGACGTCTATGTTCTAATAGATGTTTCAATCTTAGAAATCATCATATAAAATCTTCCACACACTGTTGTGAACCTATAACACCTGATGTGCGTTTATAACATATTCCGTGCACTTATAACATTACCCCACATTTATAAAATCTTCTGTGTCCTTATAAAATATGTCGTACTTATTTAAAACGTGTCGGGAACTCATAAAATTTTCCGTCTATTGCATTTGAGTAAAATCTTTCTATAATAAAGTATATTATTTATCTACTAGATACTATAATAATTAGTGATGGGTCGCTTAGAAAAGTCGACGGACTAGTCTGATAAGTTGACTAGTCCAAATATATTTTTCAAAAGTGGACAAGTATATTGCACATACGCGAAATTAAATTAACTAATTCGTCTGAATGTCTTACAAATAAAGGCAAAATATAGTTTAAAAAAGAAGAAACCACAAATGTTTACTGACTTTAATAGGTTTTAACGATGTTTTCGCCAGGACTTCCGATGCTGACACGGTGGTATCAACACTGAAATGGCGGCGTCAGAATCGGCAGTCATGTGTGAATGTTTCCATCAAAATCCTTAACAAGAACAGTCATCGTGAAGTGAATATTGTCTGATGTGATCAGTTATTAAGAAGCAAGATTAGTGCGACAAAATTTTTCGAATCTGAAAATTACAAATTGTCACATGGTGTGATGTGCATCCTGTGACGAAAAAAATAAATTTCCTTTAAAATATCCACCTATAACACAGAAAACTCCAATACAATTACCATAGGCCGAATAGCCCTGGCAGCTGAGGCCTATAAAAATTGAATTGAAGAAGAAGATGTTTTCGTATTTTCGTTTCATATTTTATTAAAATAAACTCGTGAAAAACTTATCAAGAAATCCAAAGGTTGGAAGTATTTTACAAACGATTAGCCTAAAAAAAATACAAATGCAAATATTGTTCCCAAAGTGTTTTTGAAAAAACATCCAGGATGGACATTTAACTATGTGTCTTCTATGCTCAAGGTCGACTACTTTTCATTACTCTTCACTATAAAAAAATTAATTCTAATAAATTTCTAGAGCCAATAAAAATATACAAAAATAATTTTCATTTCTATATCATGTAAATGGATTTTCATAGAGTTTAAGCACCAACTTTATTAGCAAATCAATCCGAAATATACAGGGTGTTCCATCTCAGACGACCCACCCGGTATATTTCTTATCTCATAGTAATTGGAAAAATTTCACGAAACACGTCGGATGATTTTCTTTTGACGTATATTTGAGGCTTGAACGAGAGATGTCCCCCAAAGAAAATCATCTGACGTGTTTTGGGAAATTATTAAAGCAATTGCAGTACAGTTCAAACAAATTAAAATATTATATTTATATCTAAAAAAAATATCACAATTTCAATAAATGTAAGCAATGACAATTTGTACAGTACAATATTAATAATAATGAATTTTAAATCAGCAGATTTTTCCAAAACAATCCTATTAGAAATGTTATTTTTTTGCAAATTTTTTAACAATTTTTACCACAAAAACTTTCATATTAATGCACATAACAAATCGCCATTAGCATTCAACAAAACGTGACACATTTAAGTTGGTGCTATAAAATAAACCATTTTTCGGTGCCAATTTAACGTGATTAAAATTATAGACAAATTATATACACATCTTAAGTCTAATCTTAATAATAACACCAGAGTTTAGATTTATAAACGGTTTTTGTTATTTAAATGTTCGTTTTTGTTGAAAGCATAAATGTAATTTCCGAAGACTAGTGTCGGGTGTTCCTGATCAGATCTTCTATTTCACTGGAACATAAAGTAACGACAATTAAATAATAAAGTAATATAAAAATCCTGTATATTTGGCACGTTTTTCATTGGGTTGAGATACACGATCCGTTTCATCCTAATAAATGGCAGTACATTCATTTCAATCGACGTGCAACTGATCATTTTTTCGATAATTTAGACGATTTGTTCTCATAACAGGTGTTTTTACCAAAGAAACGTAAATTATTTTTTTTTTATTAATTTTTTATTTGATTTTGATGTTTGATGGGATTTTTGATACGAGAATTTTTACAGAATGTTTAAATATAAAAAAAATGTATCTATTTGAAAATGTATTTTGTATGGATATTTACTCACTTTTTTATGTAATCTAGTCAAGTAGCTTATAATATTTGTATATGTACATTTGTTGTACAGGGTGGTTCGTGCAAATCTGTTTTTATTTTGATTAATTGATAATTCCCACTGTTTTTTTTTTATTAATTACGAATTTCGGTTAATAATCTATTGGGGGCGAGTCAGGCGATCGCGCTGGCGTGTAAGTTCTTTTCGTTCGTTTCAAGGAATGGATTGCATATACTAGAACGCCCTGTACACCTTAAATTTAGTAATATAACAAGACTGCTTATTTTAGGTAAAAATATATTTGTAAACTATGAGAAATTTTTAAACTATTTGAGTGATTTTCCTGCCGCTGAGATGTTTTTTTTTCTCGTTTTGTAACCAAACTGAACGATTATTTCTTCTTTTTCTTGATAAATTTTCTTTTAGGATAAATGCATATATCAGTGTTTGTAATTATAGGAAGTTGTCGATACCTTATTTGTTGTTATTTTTCAAGTTATTGATAACGAAGTTTGTTTGTGGAATAAAATAAAATATTCGTTTAATTTTTGGTCTTTTATTTTTTTTTTTTTTCACACAAATATTTTACTGAGATTTGATCTCTCGAACTGAGAACACTGGTTGCAATGATAATCGAGTAGTTTAGGTACTAGCACGAAAGGGTCGGTATAGCTGGTTTAAGTTCAACTCAGAGTATTTAGGCTTATTTAATTTTTCTTTAATTCATTTTCACCGTGAGGATTTGGGGATATTTATTTAATTTCTACATCACTCAACAGAAACCAATTACAGAGTGGTAGTAATCACAACATGCAAATTAGTACACAGAAAAATATTGTAAATATTCAGTTGAACATAAAAAAGAAAAAAAATACAGAGTTTATAGTTTAGACAGACATTAGATATACATATTGTAAAGCTACTATAAAATAAGTTAAACTGTTCACTGAATTTATTACAAATTTGACAAAGTTTGTAAACTGGCGAATTTAATAAAACATTAGTTCGCGAAGTCTATTAGTAAAAGAAATCAGTTGTGCGAGACGGTAAGCGTGAAATCAGAAAGTTCATATTTCCTAAAAGGACTGGATCATGTATAATATTGTTTAATAACTTGTATTTGAACATAAAAGCATAGCATTCTCGACGAGCAATGAGACTTCATTCCATGATTCACAAGTAATAATTCTTGTGCAGTACGTCCGGGAGGATATATTCAATCATTTACGAATAATAAGCCCTTTAAGAAGCGTCTTTGGGTATATTCAACATTGTTAATGTCTACCGTGTAATCGGGAGACCAAACTATAGACGCATACTCTAATTTAAAACGGACATATGTATTATATAGGGTTTTAATGTCGAATTATATTGAAAATCTCTGCCATTACGTATTACGAAGCCGTATACTCGATTCGCTGCAGTTATATTTTCTATAAGTGCTATGAAATTGTTATTTATCAAACGTCACTTCTAAATCATTTAAAGTTATGGGTCTTGTTAAAATTACGTCATTAATGGAATATGGATGTATTATGGGACAGAAGACAACATTGCATTTATCTGGATTAAGAGGTAATTTGTTATCAGTTCACTATTGTACTACACATGGCCCCCATAGCCCCCTCCCCTGGAGCCGCCCTTGCTGCCAGGTATAGCGCGCCTGGGCCGGGCAGGTATTTTCTGATGCGCTGAGTTATGTATGAGGCACGGTTACTCAAACCGCTGTATCTTCGTTAGTTTTTCTCCGATTCATCTCAAATTTTCACACAATGTGAAAGGTTTTCCATTCAGAAAATTAAATATGAAAAAAATGCAAAAAAAGTTTAAAAACTTTACTCCCCCCTTAATATGCAACTTAAATTTAAAAAAAATGTACCTATCTATTGTAGGTTTTGATTTGCATTTAAATTTATAAAAAATAACCATCTATCCAAATAAAACTATTTAAAATTAGGAATTATTATTATAGGTATTTAAAAATATATTATCAGAAAATTTTAATCGACGCTACCCATTTTAATTAGGCACACCACTTCATGCATTGTCAGAATTGTTAAAATAGAGAACAGGCACAATAACATAATTTCTTCTGTTCCCTATAACTTCTAAACGTCAAAATTTTCCTACACTTCTTTGTAAATAATAAAGTTTATTAATATCCGTATTTGTGTATAACTATTTTTGGTTGATAAATTAAATTGCTCTAATTGATTTTTATTTTATTTCATAAAGGAAGGTATGTATAGTCAGAAATATGTATAATATTCTTGCTTCACATAGAAAACGGGTGTCTTGGAAATATTTTTCTGTTTTCGTTTCTCCTTCACAGTCAGCTTTATAGTACCTAGGTATATTTACTCAAAATGAAACAAATTGCTTAAAGTACAAAATTTGTAATCCTCTAAAATTGAATAAATAATATACAAAAAGGAAAGCCTGTGCACGGGTCTATGTAGTATCACATTAAAATACTATGAAATACTATTCCTACATTGAAACTTAAAATTATACCATAAAACACTATTTTTAAAATCGTGTCCTTTCACTTTCATCTAGCATTTTATAGTAATTAACAATATATAACCCCTTCCATACGGTACGGCACTGTCAAGTTTTCCGTTTGTGTATTTTTCCTCTCTCCCTGTTTAGATAATGATTAAACCCACTACTTCCACGAGTAATAGTTCCGTCAGACAGTGACAGGTTTAGGTGCCCCAGTTTGGCATACAAGCCTCGAAGAGAGTTAAAAAGTACATCGATTTTAAGTAGGATGAAAGGAAATTTACGAGGGGATAACACATGGAAAATTCGATTTTCCCTAACAAAAATGAAAGGTGATTTGTAGCCCATATTTCCACGCAAGCCGTTTTCACTATATGATTAATTAGTAGAACTAGGCTTCGGAAAACCAAAGGCATTAATGTTGCAAGTGGCTAAAGGGTTGAAATAAGGGCGTAATCTTCCAGGGAAAAATCGAGAGTTTACGCGATTTTTCCACACAAACCAGTCGAATTTATGAAAACGTACATCGTCACTAGTTCGAAAACATATTTTCTTGAATGACCCGAATGTATAAGTGCATTTTGTGGTCGGAAAATTTTTCTGATAAGGAAAATCGAATTTTCCATTTATCCTTAAGTGTCACTCGTAAATTTTCTTTTATTCTACTCAACAACGATGTACTTTTCAACCCTCTTCGAGGCTTGTATGCGAAAATGGGGCCTCTAAATACATGATCGAATGATTAAACAGGGATGATGTAGGTATTATAGACAACACATAATAAGCCATTAAGAATTAAATGTTGCCTGCCAAATAAATAAGCGCTCAAATTGAATAGTTTCTCTTGATATGAACATTTTGACGGGAAAGCCATTGAAACTCGGCGATTGAAAAGCCTATAGCGAACATTTGCGGTCTAACGAAATTGAGCTATATGCGGACGGCCCTCTTGTGCGGCCTGTGCACCTCTAAATATAATGGTCTCGTTTGAATACCTCAGTCATTATATATACCATAATGCCTCAGTTACGGTAAATCTACAAAATTTTGTCCGCAAATAGCCTCATAATATGTGACCTATAACCTTCGCTTATCAGGAAGTTTTTGCGCACTTGTGTACATCTAAAGCTGCGTACTCACTAGGCCAACGAAAGCGAATGAGCAGGATACAGATATGGATTTGACAATTTTGGAAGCCTTTCGCCGGCTGTCGGTACTTTAAAAGATTTTTGTCGGCATACGGCGGGCAGTATCTAGTATGTACATAGACCGAATGCATTCCGTAAAAAATATGTAAACCAACAGTTGCCAGTGGCAAGTGTGATTTAATTCTTTATTAGTTTGGTTGGAGTTTTTGTTTATTATTTAAAGTTAATTTATTATAATTCAGAGAATTGATCTATTGTAATAATTATGGAGTAACACACATGTGCTGCAACTAATCGATCTTTATAATGAACACGAATGTCTTTGGAACCCAAAACAACAGAAACGAAAATAAAATATCAAAAATGGATGGCTTTGTACCACTGTAACGTAAGGTAAGGTTGACCACACGTTTCGTGCATTAGCTTTTGTGTTTATCGATAGTCCCGAGAACACTCTTCCTTCGAATTTGTAAAATAGATTTTTAAAAATTCCACTGTAACGTGATCTACTTTTAAATAATAATGATGTCTACAACCGTCTTTTTCTTCTTTTGATTGTCGAATGGTATTCTATATTACAAAAAATAAACTTAATTACGAATTTAGATATGACACTATTAACACTACACTGATTATGGAAGGCCAACAATGAACGAATTCGTACGTAGACATTCGCCAGTGTGGGTAGTAATGACCAAACACACGCGCCTGCTAGGGCATGCGAGCGAGTGGTTCTGTTTGTTCGCTTTCGTATTGCCTAGCAATGTTGCCAGAATATATTTTTGTAATGTACCAGATTTATCTAAAAAATGTACCAGATTGCATAAAAATGTACTAGATTCTATACAATTACCAGATTTTTTCTCTCGGACAGCTTTTAATTTTTTTTACCTCTTAAGCTATTTTTAAACAATATTTTATCTCTCGATATATTTCTAACAGCAATTGTTAATTTTTAACAACTTTTTTTATCCCTCGAGCAATGTTTGTATAATTTTTAACACTAATTAATCACTCGAGCAATTTTTAACAACCTTTTTTACCTCTCAAGCTATTTTTGAACAATATTTGATCTCTCGTGCAATTTTTTAACAAAATTTTAATAATTTCTAACACTATTTTATCTCTAGAGCAATTTTTATTAATATTTTTTATCTTTCTAGCAAATTTTAAACAATGTTTTATCTCTAGAGAAATGTTTAAGAGTATTTTTTAATTATCGAGTAATTTATCAACAAGATTTTTACAATTTATAGTACTATTTTATCTCTCGAATAATTTTTAAACCTTTTTTTATCTCTTGAGCTATTTTTAAACAATATTTTATCTTTCAATAAATTTATAACATTATTCTATCTCTCGAGTAACTTTTTTATCTCTTTAACAAACTGCACAATATTTTAACTCTCGACAAATTTATAACAATATTTTAACTCTCGATAAATTTTTAACAATTTTTTACGTCTCTACCAATTTATAACAACTGTTTTTTATCTCTCAAGCAATTTTTGTACAATATTTTATCTCTTGAACAATTTCTAATAGTATTATTATATCTCTCGAGTAATTTCTAATAGTATTTTATCGTACGAGAAATTTTTTAACAATTTCTAACAGCAATTTTTAATTTTTAACAACTTTTTTATCCCTCGAGCAATGTTTGTATAATTTTTAACACTAATTAATCACTCGAGCAATTTTTAACAGCCTTTTTTTACCTCTCAAGCAATGTTTGTATATTTTATCTCTTGAGCAATTTCTAATAGTATTATTATATCTCTCGAGCAATTTTTAATACGTAGTATTTTATCGTTCGAGGACTTTTTTAACAATGGTTTGTCTCTCCAGAAATTTCTAACAGTATCTCTC